ATATCTTTAAAACTCCATATGTGCCCCTTCCTAATCTTGTCTCTCTCCTGTGATCCTGCAAGTTTAACACTTGCCCAGAATTTTACTTATTATACTTTGTTTTTATTATTATTTTACCATATGTCTGTCTATAAACAACATATTATTTAGTTTTACTTGTTTTTCCTGAAAGCATATCATATGTGTATGAGATTTCCTAAATGTATTCTTACATGATTTGCTTTTTTCCTTCTATTTGTTGCATAAGGTTCAACCTTATTGATATTTATAGATGTAGTTTCTTTATTGTCATTACCTCATAGTATTCGTTTGTGGAATTATGTCATAGTTCATCTATTCTCCTTGCTGTGAACATATGAGGTCTAACAATTAAGCTCACAAACTCATCCTAGAAAAAGTGCTACATAGCTCATTGCTGAATATCACTATGGTCACCTTCAAAATACTCCTCTTGGGAAACTATGCACCAACTCCAGCACCTAGTCCACCCTTCAAAACAATTTTGGAACTCATTTCTGGAATGGCTATCAAAGCTGTCATCATATTACCTTGATGTCCTGAGTGTCACCTAAATATCTTCCTTTCGATATATCCTTTATCTTTGAGTAAAGAAAAAAGTCATCAGGGGCCAGGTCAGGTGAGTAGGAAGGGTGTTCCAATACAGTTATTTATATGTACACTGGCTAAAAATTCCTCACACGCTGTACCATGTGAGTTAGTATATTGTCATGAGTTGCTGGCCAAGATTTTTTAATTAAGATTTTCCTGTTTCTCTATCAATGTTTACTTGTCTGCTATGCTTCTCTCAGTCAGCTGACAATTTTGATGCAGAATTTGATGAATTTTTGCGATGTTTTCATTATTTCTGCTTGTTACTGGCCACCTTGACCTCTCTTTATCAGTGATGCTTCCTCTTCCCTCAGAAAAATGTTTAATCTATTTATACACTACCATTTTCTTCATGGCATCATCCATACAAACTTGAACTAACATGTTGCTGATTTCACTTCCACTCTTGGCAAGTTTAACAAGAAATTTAATGTTTGTTCATTGTTCTAATTCAAGCTCTGACATTCTTGTGATGGTACACAAAAACACACAATAATGAATGCCACGCAGCAAGGCACTGCAACACATCAACACAAACACAACTGTGAGACACTGATATCCCCAGGTTTTGAATCCTTACCAAGTTGTTTGTAGGCTGCTGCAGTTGTAAGTGCACTGCAACAAGTTCGCAAACTTAATTGTCAGACTTCATGTTATTTCCAATATTTTATTACTATAAACAGAAATAATAACATCTGATATACATGTGCAAAGGTTTATCTGTGATATATACTTAAGAATGGAACTAACAAGTTATACAGCTTACTACAAATGCTAAATTATTTTCCAAAATGCTAGCAATACTCTTACAGGCAATATATAGGAATACCCTTTGCATCCTTATGTTTGCCAATACTTGCTTGGCAGTTGTTAAACTTTTTAATTTGGAAGATATAAAATGCTATCTCATTATGGTTTTGATTTGCATTTTTCTGATTACTATCAAACTTGTGCATTTTTTGGTATGCTCATTGACTAGTTGTGGTCTATCAAAATCTATTTAGTTTTTTTGCCTATTTTTTATTTAGGTTGTCTTTTTCCTGTTATTTCTAAGAAATTTGTTATGCATCTAGAAATGGAATATTCTGTCCATTTTGTATTTTATGAATATCTTTTTCCAACTTATGATAATGTCTTTTCACATTTTTTTCATCTTTGAACACTTAGTCTTAGTTTTTTTTTTTTTTTTAGACAGAGCCTCAAGCTGTCCCCCTGGGTAGAGGGCCGTGGCATTACAGCTCACAGCAACCTCCAACTCCTGGGCTCAAGCGAGTCTCCTGCCTCCGCCTCCCAAGTAGCTGAGACTACAGGCGCCCGCCACAACGCCTGGCCATTTTTTTTTTTGGTTGCAGCCATCATTGTTGTTTGGCGGGCCCGGGCTGGGGATTTGAACCCGCCACCTTAGGTGTACGTGGCTGGCGCCTTAGCCGGTTGAGCTATAGGCGCCGAGCCAGTTTTTTAAAGTCAAATTGATCATTTCCAAAATGCATTATCTTCTGTACTTCTAAAATTTTTTAAATTGGCCTTTCACAATAAAATTCTCAATTTATCTATAATTGGTTTTCAGGTAGCATTCTAATTACATGTTTTTCACATATGAATAACCAGTTACCCTGTACTATTCACTGAATAGTTCTTTCTATGTTGATTGGCAGTTCCACCTCTATCATATATGTCCCCATGTATGTATGTGCCTATTATGGGTAATATTTTTTTCACTTTGCCAATTATTGTAATAATAATATGCTGTTTTTATTGCAGTTGTAAAAGTCCAAAAATCTAGTCAGACAAGTCCAGCACCCTGTCCTTTTTCAGGAATCTTTCAACTGTTTATGACCTTTAGCTTGTTAATATAAATTGTATTAGTATGTTGTCAGATTTCAAGAAAGATGGTGATTGAAATTAAATTGATCCTATAAATTAATGTGTAGTGACTTCCTCATTCTCAGAATTTTGAGTCTTAGGCAGCAGCACCTGTGGCTCAGGGAGTGGTGCACTGGCCACATATACTGGCGGTGGTGGGTTCAGGCCCAGCCCTGGCCCAAAAAAAAAAAAGAATTTCGAGTCTTGCTATATAGAACATGCTATATGTTACATTTATTTAACTCTCCTTTATAATGTCTGTCAGTAAAGTTTTTAATTTGACCCAAAAAAGTGTGATACCTTATATCTGTAACATTATAATTGTAACTCTTTCTGGTATATAAAAATAGATACAATTTTTTTTTTATTTCCTTGCTTATTTTTTATTTTTATGTCTTTGCTTTTTGTTGTTGTTGTTGTTGTTGTTGTTGTTGTTGTTAAGACAGAGTCCCACCTTGTGTCCTGAGCAGCAGAGTGCAAAGGCATCATAGCTCACTGCAACATCAGGCTCTGGCCGTGGCCACTGCTTTAAGCCTCTGTAAGCCGCTGGGATTACAGGTGCTAGCTGCTGTGCCCAGCTGGGTTTTTCCATTTTTTTTTTTTTTGAGACAGAGCCTCAAGTTGTCCACCTGGGTTGAATGCTGTGGCATCACAGCTCACAGCAACCTCCAACTCCTGGGCTCAAGCAAGTCTTCTGCCTCTTTCTCCCAAGTAGCTGGAACCACAGGTGCCTGCCGCAATACCTGGTTATTTTTTGGTTGCAACCATCATTGTTGTTCGGTGGGCCCAGGCTGGATTTGAACCCACCTCCTTAGGTGTATGTGGCTGGTGCCTTAGCCACTTCAGCCACAGGCACCGAGCCAATTTTTGCATTCTTTTAGGAGTCGGGATCTCACTCTCGCTCAGGCAAGTCTTAAACTCCTGAGCTCAAGCAGGTCACCCTCCTCAGCTTCCCATAGTGTTGGGATTACAGATGTTAGCCACTGCACCTGGCAATAGATATAATTTTTATATGTTGAACTTATATCTGGTAAACTTGAGAATTATTATTACTAATTCTCATATAATAATAAAATGCTTCTGGATTTTTTCTTTGTGTTTTATATGTAAAAAAGAAATCCGAAGATAATATATTCTTTTTTAAACTTTATTTGTCCTTTTGTCTTACTGTGTGATCTGTATTGTATCTCTTTTTCATTTCTGATATTGCTGTTTTTTGCCTTCTTTTAAATTTAGTTTTGAATAATTATCACTTTCATTAATCTAAGATGCATTAAAGACTTAAATGTAATACCCAAAACTATAAAACTACTAAGAGAAAACATAGGAAAACACTTGGCATTGGTTTAGCCAAAAATCTTATGGTTAAGACCTCAAAGGCACAAGAAACAAAAATAGACAAATGGGACTACATTAAACTGAAAAACTTCTGCACGGCAAGGGAAACAGTCAACAGAGTGAGGAAACAACCTGTGGAGTGGGAGGAAGTATTTGCTAGCTAGTCATCAAACAAGGGATTATTACCCAGAATACACAAGAAACTCAAACAGCTCAACAGTAAAAATAAACAAGTAATCCCATTAAAAAGTGGCCAGGTGACATGAATAGACATTTTATAAAAGAAGACATACAAATGATCAACAAGTAGGTGAAAAATGCTCAAAATCTTAAACATCAGGGAACAGAAATCAGTATATCAAAGGGATACCTGCACCTCCCAATGTTAATTGCAGCCCTATTCATGGTAACAAAGATATGGAATCAACGTGTCTATCAGCAGAGAAGTGGGTATATCTCTCCTTTACTAGAATATGAGCTCCACAAAAAGGGAATTTAATTACTTACTCTCTTCAGAGTATCTAAAATAGTGGTTGGCACATAGTAAGTAAACAATTTGTTTACTTCATACCCAAGCATAGGCCAAGAATATTCTAGAGGGCTGTTCAGTTTCTGATGTGGCTGAAAGCAATCAGAGCAACAACTTAGTTAGATCCCTCCACACTTTCTGTCACTCAGTCTTCTTGCAAGAATGATGTTAACTCTCAGGCAACCTAATTATATTTTAGTAATGACAAAGCTGTAGTCTTGGCTCTGTAGATTAAAGTAAAGCATCTTGCTTTTTGCAACCTGGCAAAAACAAAAGGACATAGAACAGAACAGCTTTTACTAGGAAAGTATGGGTGTGACCACAGTTATGTATATATGTTAAGTATATAGAGGTATATAAATTTTACTTTTAATGTTAGATGGTGGGGAAGCTAAAGGAGTACAGAAAACAGATTTAGAAAGAAGAATGGTGAAAACTGAAATAAATTATTAAGGTAAGTGATTGAGAATTTTTAAAACTATTTCTATAGTTGGTCTAGCAGTCTAATATGAATTCATTTAAGAAAGTAATGGCCTAAACTTTAAATTTTTAATTAACCTCTTAGCTTATGAGAATATGAAAAATTGAATAAATCTTTAGCTCCAACCATAGTATTTTACTGTGTAAAAGTGTAATTCACTATAGTAATTTTTTTATTCAGGTTATTTTAAGTTCCATGATAAAAGAATGTGAACAAAAAGTAGAAAACAAGACCGTCCAAGAGCCTCCAGGGTAAGATATTAATTCTTTTTTTAAGGTCATTTTAACCTTAACTTCTCCATTTAAATTTGCTACAGATAAGTGTATTGTTTCATTTTGTGTTATTTTATAGTCATCTATGTGGGAGATAAAAAAAATTAAGTCAGCAGTTCTTAAGGTGGTTCAAGAACTTCTTTATCAGAATCCTAGAGAATTTAAAATTCACATATCTACCCCATGTTCTCAACATTCTGAGTCAGCCTAAGGATCTGTCTATTTAAAAGCTTCCAAGAAGATGCTAAGATGTAGCCATGTTGGGGACTCACTAATCAAAACAATATCTAGAAATGTGAGCAATTCATTCCAAAAGGATAGTAAACTTGGGACTGTTCTAATCACATGTTTCTCTAACCACACTAATTAGAATTCAAAGATTTGGTGAAATTAAAATTATAAATATAGATGTGAAAAAGTAAAATCAAACATTCAGGAGAGGGAGTAATTTACAAATTACAAATTCTTTTTTTATTTTTTTATTTCTTAGAGCATAACTGTGTACATTAATGCAATTATGGGGTACAGTGTGCTGTTTTCAAATACATTTTGAAATACTCTCATCAAAATGGTTAACATAACTTTCATGTCATTTTCTTAGTTATTGAGCAAATTACAGATTCTTACTGAAGTAACCTTGAGTGATTAATCTTAAATGGACTCTGTTAGACATAAAAAGCTCAAAATCATTTTCTTTAAGGAATAATTGCTTCATCCTGTCAATCTGTGCACATATACACATACTCTCTGTTACCTCCCTGCTCTCAGGCCTCTTTGATGTGTAGAATCCTTTCTTTATCCATGTGTACCTACCATAAAACAACAGAAGTATTCAAATTATCTATATCATTGCTGGTATTTTTATAGAGAATTTCAAATAAACAGAAATTATAATGAATTCCCATGTATCCATCACTTAGCTTCAGAAATGATCAACTCATAGTCAATTTTATGACATCCATCCCCACTGACTTCCTCCTTCCATACTCAGAAAACTATCTCTGAGAGACAAATGTTATTTTTAGAAATACATTATCATACTAAAATAACAATTCCTTTGTATCATCAACTGCCTTTGTTCAAATTTCTAATTGTTTGATAAATGTCATCAAGGATTTATTGTTTTCCTTACAGTTTGTTTCTTTGAGTCAGTATCCAGATGAGTCCCCTATATTGCAGTTGGTTGATATGTTAAATTTCTTTCAATGCACAGATAAAAGGTTCCCCTCTTGTCACTTTTTTCTCCATACAATTTACTTATTGAAGAAACTAGATCACTTGTCCTGTAGAGTTTCCCACAGTCTGAATTTTGTGATTTCATTTCCCTTGTATTACTCAACATGTTCTTCTGTATCTCTGTAAATTTGTTAGTTCTAGATCCTAGAGACTTTAATCAAATTGAGGGCATGTTTGTTTATTTGTTTCAACAAGATTGCTTCATAAAAGGAAATGTTTTTTTATTATAAGGCAGATAATGTCTACGTCTCTCCCCTTTTTTTGGTAATATTAACAGGTCAATGGTTAATTCCTAGCTCCACTAATTCATTAGATTACAAAATATACATGTAATCTTCTGATTCCATCATTCCTGTGCCATCTTCTATAATACTTCAGAAAAGGAAAACTTAACCCATCAATATTGCTGTTACCCAATGGTATAGTTTATATAGTAAAAGCGAGATAAATGTTTAAATCTTTTTATTTACCAGTTTTCAAAATAATGAAGTGATTCCCCCTCTGGTGACCAATCAGGTGGTTTTTTTTAAAGTATCATTATAAACTCATGTATGTAAACATTTTATGTAATTTGATGCTTTGAATTTATTATCCTGTTGATGCCCAAGTTATCCCATCTTTAGCTAATTTTAGCCTTTTCAAATTGACTTCAAATAGTCTTTTTGATGATGATCCTTCTTTGGAATCTGATATGACCATATCATAAACCAACTTTTAAAGTATTCCTTCTTTTGGAGAGTAAGGGTAAGAAAGGGAGGCAGTTAAGGAATGTGATTCAGTAAATATTTTGGAATCATCCTAATAGTCATCCAAATAGGTGATATTTAAACTTTAAGAGTTAAATTTTGGGCTCAGCGCCTATAGCTCAACCGGCTAAGGCGCCAGCCACGTACACCTAAGGTGGCGGGTTCGAATCCCCAGCCTGGACCCGCCAAACAACAATAACGGCTGCAACCAAAAAATAGCCGGGCGTTGTGGCGGGCGCCTGTGGTCCCAGCTACTTGGGAGGCAGAGGCAGGAGACTCGCTAGAGCCCAGGAGTTAGAGGTTTGCTGTGAGCTGTAATGCCATGGCACTCTACCCAGGGGGACAGCTTGAGGCTCTGTCTCAAAAAAAAAAAAAAAAGAGTTAAATTTTGTACTTGATGCAAGAGCCAAATACTGACTGATTCAGTCTAATCCCAAACTTGCTCCTAAGCACTACACATATTGCTTTTTTTAACATAAAGGATGAACATGAAAGCTCCTAACCTAGAATGTGGACAAAAACTGCTGTCCACAGATAATTAGTTTTCCTTTTGTTATGCCAATTCCTAACATGAATTGCATGTATTTGTTAATGATATGATATGAAGAATTGAAAAAAATTGATATTTTCCTTTTTTAATTGCTTTACATGAATTTTAAAATTTCTTTCCTAGCTCAATGTCAATTGCTGCAAGCTTAGTGAGTGAAGATACAAAGACCAAGTTTTTGAACAAAATGGGCCAGTTGACAACGTCAGGTGCCATGTTGGCCAATGTGTTTCAGAGAAAGAAGTAGAAGCAGGAAGGAAGCCCCCAGTAAACACTAAAATGGACCTCAAGCAGACTGGTTCCTTGTACTTGAAGTACTTGCCTTTTTTATTTCCTCAGTTTTATGTTCTTGCATTATAATTTTATCCTAACCTCCAAAGATATTTGCACTGCTTTTGATTATTGCTGTATATCTGTTGATTTTGAAGTTACAACTCTGGTGATAGAAAATTGAGTTGATAGTCTGTACCAAATCCCCCGTCTATGTTCTTGTGTTTCAGAATAATTTTTTATATATATATACAGATATATATATATAGTGAAGAGGTGTTTTTTTTAATTTTTCGATGGGATATTAGCAAATATCTGTATTATACACTAAGCTATTACAATGGTACTTAAAATAATGTAAATTTGAAGTCATTGTTATAAAGTAATAAAAGTGGAGATTACTTAAGTATTTAAATTATGAAAGAATAATGCAGACTTTTTATTGTTTCTTAACTGACTAGAAAGAGCCACCAGCATTACTCTGTGCCTTTTGGACTTCAGTTTGTGTGTTCTGTAGGAATTGTGTACATTCCGTTCACACAGTATTTCTTTAGAATGCTGTGATGAATTTGAATTACAAATCCTATAGTAAATAGTTAATGATGAAACTTTCAACATTTCAGAGCTCTCGTGAATATGCTTTAAGTGCTATTTAAACCTCCCCAGCACTTGCATGCCTATAATGGACATACCTAAAGAAAGATAGCACATAAGCATGGGGAGAGGTAACCAAGGTGAATTTTATGAACTGTTGTGTAGTAGATATAAACGCTCAAAAATAAATGTAACTCAGAAGAGCTAAAAATTGTGAAATTTTTCCCACGTTGAAATACGGAAGAAAATATAGTTTAAATCTAAAATTTAACATCTATGTAAAACATTTTCTTTAAGATATTTTCTAATAATTTTAATTTTAGAGATTATCTTTTCATTGTGTCTGTCACAAAGAAGTACTGAAAAGTTAAGGATATTTGGGGGCTGCTTTTTTCCCTCTAAACTAAAAATGATGCTTGCTAAATTATTGGTTAATTACCACCTTGTCCCTTAAAGTTTGTGACTATTCTTGTGTTTGATATGTATTACATGGAGTCTAAAGTCAGTCAGTGTACAGTTCCAATGGAATTTGACAGTTGTCTATACAGTCATGCAACTTGAAGTAGAAAAGAGTGCTGGGCTTAGAAAAGGGGTGATTGGTTTGAAAGGTTAATGTGAGGCCTTTTTGAAAAATGAATATTTTGATAAAGATAATTCTCATTCGAGCACAGTTGGTGCACATAGGCAGTTCTCATGTATGTTGTATAAACTAGTTCAATACACTTGGAACACAGTTGGATTACACTGGCTCCCTGAAAAAGCTACCTTACCACACGTTAAAATTTATAAAATAACTTGCCACAGAACAAGGCATATAAACATTTCATTCTGAAATTATTTCATTTATCTACAGTGAAATAATTGTTGACTGGTCTTTCTGAAAACTGGTGGATTCTAGGCATTCCTGAGAAATTGAAAGTGGCTGCCTTTCATGTCAAAAAATATTGATCTATTATAAATAAAATGTTTTTGCATACTTGTTTTTGGTTTTCTTTTTTGGCTATGTTTAATTTTCTTTTTGAAACACTATATTTTATATCTAAGCATAAAATTAGAGCATATATACTAGGTAACCATGAAAGTATACTAGTACTTTAGGAATGTAATCTATATAAATGACCTGTTTTTACGAAAAAGAGATTGTTGCTCTAAAACTAATACATTTCAGAGATGATTCAAAGAAAAATGTTTATGCTCTGATTTGCTTTGACAAGGGTGTATGTTATGAGGTGAACAGATGTAATGTGTTTTTATTGTGAACATTTTTGTTAATTGGTGAATACATGTATTTAAATGCTAATAGTTAAAAGGTAACAGCAAGCAAAATTCACAATATGTGAGTCTCGCTTATTGTCCTCTTAAGCATCTTAGTATTATAAAGATTTTTGCCTTTTTTTAAATTTAAGTAAAATATGGACCCTTTACAGATAAGACAGACACTAATGATTGAGACTGAATATTATGCCAAAATGGGCTGAAAACTCTCATTCTCATTCTTTTTAAACAGACGCAAACCTACAGTATAGGTTTAAGTATTTACCTTAATGAAAACCTAAATGTACAAAGTAATAAAAAGCTAATTTGAACTTATGCCTGTGTTTCAGTGGCAATCCTGAGATTATATTTTTTTCAGAAATCCAAAAGTGCCATAGTTACCAATTTAGCTGAATTCTTCCAAAAACAGTGCTTAGAAATAATCTATCTCTGTATATAGATGCCTTTAACCTTCATGTGTTTACATGAGTCACCCCTTTTGAAAGATTATTTTGCTAAACATCAAATTGACTTTCAGCCTAAATGAAATTGTAATGTAAGTCAAGCCATTACTGGTATAGATAACTTTTAATGTCAGCTATTCTGCCCAATACTATAATTTAAATGGAAGTCTCAAGTGCTATCAAATTTCTTTTTCTTACCAAAAAAAAATGAATCAGCTGGGCGCCTGTCACTCAGTGGTTAGGGCTCCAGCCACATGCTAGTGGGTTCAAACCTGGCCCAGGCCTGCTAAACAAACAAACAAACGCTGCGTATTGTGGTGGATGCCTGTAGTCCAAGCTACTTGGGAGGCTGAGGCAAGAGAATCGCTTGAGCCCAAGAGTTGCTGAGTTATGATGCCACACACTCTACCAAGAGTAAAAAGGTGAGACTCTTGTCTCAAAAAAAAAAACAAAAATGAATCAAATAGTCTCCACTAAAGTTTGGGGAGATTAAATTAGTATGTTTTGAATTCTTTTCATGATTCCATTTTTGAAGACAACCTATTTTGGACCATTATCTAAACTTTAAGGACATAATTTTCTGTAGATAATACCTCATCTTTGAACTACAGTAGCTAATTACAGCTAACATTTTGTGCTGGTTACATTTTATTTTATTTTATTTTTTGAGACAGAGCCTCATGCTATCCCCCTGGGTAGAGTGCCGTGGCATCACAGCTCACAGCAACCTCCAACTCCTGGGCTCAAGCAAGTCTCCTGCCTCAGCCTCCCAAGTAGCTGGGACCACAGGTGCTCGCCACAATGCCTGGCTACTTTTTGGTGGCAGCCATCATTATTTGGCGGGCCCGGGCTAGATTCGAACCCGCCACCTTAGGTGTATGTGGCTGGCACCTTAGCCATTTGAGCCACAGGCGCGGAGCCTCTGGTTATATTTTCTTAAGATTTCTTTGCATAAAAAATGTATACTTAAAGAGCTTTGTAGTTAGCAATTCAAATTACTAACTAAAATTTTCCAGATCCACCAAGGAACAAAATTCCAACTTTAATGTTGGATGTTAATTCTCTTATAAACAAACCATGAAATAAATTTAGCCTTTCATATCAACAGACATGTGTTTGAAAGTTCTAATGTAACTTTACAGTCCTTGTTTTTGATACTATTTTGTTTTTGTACATTTAAAAAATAATAGATAAAAGATAAATTCTACTAATCAAAAATAATGTATCTGATAAACTTCTACATAGTGGCAAAATAATTGGATTTTAGACTATATTCATACTACATAAAGATGTTCTGCAGTATTTCATCTGTTCAGTCAGCTCTCTAATCCCAATCTCAGACTGGAAAATCTCATCATTTATATCTTCCCCTCCAGGGCCAACTCCAGGATGCCGTTTTGGTTGCCTGCTTTATAGTTTACTTTGCATATTTAAGAAAAATCTTAAAATGAAATTCTATTGTCTATTAGAACACACCAGTCATAAAGTACATAATAGTGAATGTAAACTTAATACAGCATAAAAAAATTGTCATATTTTTGATAGCATATAAATAACACCTTCAGTTCAGTATCATAAGGATGTAAACTGCTTACTTTTCTCCAAAGAGGCTTCAGTAAATCTGGAAAATCCTATTCAAAGTGTATCTACACAAAGGATTTTATTACTTTTTTAATTTATTTTATTCCATTAAAGACTATCCATTATATTTATTTCAGTTAGTTTATTGTGTCAGTGGATTTCTTGAGGGAGTTCAGTGCTGTAAAATTTGTGTTGTTTATAAACTAGCATTTTGTGTTGAGTGTATAGGTATTATCAGTGATATTTTTGCAGGTTTTTTTTTCTTTTTGGCTGGGGCTGGATTAGAACCCACCACCTCCAGCATATGGGGCCGGTGCCCTACTCCTTGAGCCACAGGTGCCACCCTATCAGTGATATTTTTTTAAGACATCATTTGTTGGCTTGGCGCCTGTGGTTCAAGTGGCTAAGGCACCAGCCACATACACCAAAGGTGGCAGGTTCGAATCCAGCCCGGGCCCACCAAAACAACAATGACGGCTGCAACCAAAAAATAGCCAGGCGTTGTGGCGGGCGCCTGTGGTCCCAGCTACTTGGGAGGCTGAGGCAGGAGACTCGCTTGAGCCCAGGAGTTGGAGGTTGCTGTGAGCTGTGATGCCACGGCACTCTACCCAGGGGGATAGCTTGAGGCTCTTGTCTCAAAAAAAAAAAAAAAACATCATTTGTTGATAGCAATCTGCTTTTTATAATTTTAACAAACTGCTTTTATACTAGAAAAACAACCTGTTCTTGAACTGTTGGCATGTTCAACCTTAGATATTTTCAGCATATGCATTTTCTATGAAGCCAAAAATGTTACAAATAATCTCTACAGAAAATTTATATTGCTGAGTAATACAATCTAATAATTTCTGATTGACTATGACTTTATGCTTTATCTTCATTTCTAACCATTACTTGAAGGTTCTTTAAATTCTTAGCTTTCTCCATTCATAAGCCTTACTGTTATATATTAAATAATGAATCTTGTAAGTGAATAATTTCATAATGTAAATCATTTTCAAATTTATTTTTACATTGATTTTATATATATGGCCACCTTTCTAACAAATTCTTTTCTTACCCCTAAAACATGAGAATAATATGTTCTCCATTCCTCATAGGACATTATGAAAATTACGTTTATACTAAACCTGGAAATACTTTTGTGCTTGTGAAGTATTATGAAAAGTTGAAGATGGGATTAAAATGTTTAAATCACTTAAGAAGAGTAACTGTGAATAATCCCCTCCCGTATTTTTGTTAGATCTAGTTTTCCAGTAAGCCAATAGGCTACCATGCCAGGTGTGATTCACATAAAATTATAGTTGAAGGTAGAAAACCCACTGTTTTTTGTTACTTTTGCCTACTTTAAGCTTTCTCAGAGTCTAATCTAATGAAGACTTGCAAGATGATTTTATTTTTTATTTGCCAAATTTTCTGATAAAGCAACTAGTCAACCTAAGATTTTTCATTATATAACTTATTTAGGTTTCTGAAAAAGATTTTACCATTTGTTAACTTCACTCCTGTCTGTTAATGTATATTTGATTCTTACAGTAACCAACTTCTTTTGACATTTAGTGTGAACATGTAGGCTTTCTTTAATCTCCTAGTAACGAAACTTTTCATACTAATGGTAGAAAATTAGAACAGATATCCCTTGAAAAGAATTGACTCTTAGTATTATCTAAAAGAAAGATAGTGACCAATAATGAAAAAACTTAGAATCCAGGTTTCAAAAGTTATCCGTGCAACCAAAAATATTTGTATCCCCTTAATAACTTGAGGAAAAAAGAATACAGGTTTCTTGCTAAAGCTATAAAATCTTCAAATCTTGGCTCGGCGCCTGTGGCTCAAGCGGCTAAGGCACCAGCCACATACACCTAAGGTGGCGGGTTCAAATCCCCAGCCCGGGCCCGCCAAACAACAATAATGGCTGCAACCAAAAAATGGCCAGGCGTTGTGGCGGGCACCTGTAGTCCCAGCTACTTG